CAGCCGCTTCCCGGAAAGGCTGGGATACCACCGACCGTTCTTGGATCCAAGTCTCTCGAGCTTCAGACCAAATCCTAGGGGTAGTACCCGCCGAGCCTATGACTCGATCTCCGCCTGATTTTTTCCCCGGCAACCTGTCTATGGTAAGGGGCAGTTGCCAGGGCCAGGTGAGGCAGCTCTCGGTGGTGCCGAGCAGCATGGTCAGCTCGGCGATCCCCTCTGGCGGCAGCCTCTCGATGTCCGGCGGCGTGAGCCGATCGACTCTCGTTTCAGCACGAAGTTTCATCGAGTTTGCTGCGCTTCTGATCATGTCGGGTGTGAGAGGAGGAAGTCTGGCCGTGGTGGCCTCCTCCCTCACGCGGTCGAGGATGGCGTAGGATTTGACCTGCCAAGACCAGCTCCTCTGTCGGTGGGACCTGATCCTTGATCGAACGTTGCAGGACGGGCAGTGCCTCTGGCGTAGCCATCCAATCTCGAAGTTGCTAGATAGAAACTCGGAGTGTCTTCCCTCTGGCTCTCCTGGTGGCCCTCTCCGCTATACCCTGCATGTCCTTCACTTTCTGAATCTGCGTGTCGGGGGGGGGGGGGGGGGCGCCAAGTGTGCCTAGCCAATCTGACCAGGCCCAGCTCGGCTGTAAGTACGCGTGGGTGCCCTGAGGGTAGTCCGTGGCAAGACGTGCGCAAGCCTCTTTCAACGCTGCGAGCTGCTTCGGGCCGTTCTGTCGAGATATGCGCTTGACCATCCGCTCCAAAACCGGTGCCGGCCTGCCCCGCCAGGGCGCGATGCCGTCGCAGAGCGGCGATGCCCGAGACCTTTCTGGCATGCGCAGCTCTTTGATCTAGGAATACGGCCCCTGCCTTCTTTTTGGAGAGTGCGTGGGAGAAGATGTGCCGTGATGCTCCTGCATTGTTAATCCCGCCGTGTTTGCCCAGGCTGCAGGCTGCATGCAGCCCGCCGGCGCTATCAATATGCTGCGCGCCAGCCTGCCATGCGAGTGAATCTTTGACCGCTGGCCAGGGGCGCGGCGAGACAACGAAACCAACCTCAAAGCGATGCTTGAGCCAGGGGGGCCGATGTGGACGGAATGTGGAAAGATGGAAGGGGGTCGGCAACTACAGGGGCAGAGTTAGTGGCATCGGTTGCCGAGGGGTCAGGGGCATCTGGAACGTGCGCCTGCTTAGTGAAACCCATCTCGCTCGAATTAACTGATTGAGCGGAAACAGCCCCACTATGAGTGTTTGCTCTTGGGCTGCAGCTCTGGGGCGAGGGGCCCTGGCGGGTGACGTGGGGCGCTGAGAGGTTTCCTGGGGCCTGGCTCTCGCGCGAGGCTGAGGGGGCAGGCCCCCCCTCAAAATTCTTTCAGTTTCCCTCATCGGCCCGCGGGTCCTCCTCGCCGTCAGAAAAGTCAAACACTAAACTCGGATTATGTTCGGGGCTGGCTGCGGGGAAATCGTCAGACTGAGTGGGGAGCGAAACCTCGGGGCCGGGCGGCTGAGACTCGCCCTGGCCCTGGGTGTCTCGCACTCCTACAATGTCACCCAAAGGCGGTGGCATTCGTCTCTCACTTTTTCTCGCGCTATGGCTAACTTCAACAGACTTTCAGCCTTGGATCTGGAGCTCTTTGCGTCGGCCTGGGGTAGCGAGCATGGCCTGGCGACCTGCGGAAGCATGGCAGGCAGCTGCAAAACGCGAGCGACCAGCTGGCCCCCCTGGCCTCGGACTCTGAGAAATAACCAGCAGTGCGTCTTCCATGGGGCATCGGTGATGGCAGCCATGGAGTGAACGTGCGGCAGAAAGCTGGCGCTGACGACTGCAACATCTACCTCCGCGCCCTCGCTCTTACTGTTCGCCGTGCACGTGATGCGGGTGTTGGAAGCGGAGGTGATGGTGCCATTGATTCTGCCGATGAAGCCGTGTTTGAGACGGTCATGCAGGCTGATGTTTCAGTCCGCCATAGCCACCCACTAACTGTAACGAATTGAGCGCGGCTCCCAGCGTGGCATACCGCTGGATGTTCTTGGCGGACCAGCCGTCCCCCGAGAAGCCGTAGAAGCAGACCGCCAGGTAGGAGAAGCCCTGCATGTTGATGGTAACCGCTTGGAAGCCATCGGGGGACTTGCGACCACTTGCATGTAGCTGCGACCAGCTGCTGGCCAGCGAGGGTGCTGAACGCTGACCCTGGCACAGGAGCCACTCGCCCCTTCATTGGATCGATGCTCGAAACCTTCTTGAACTGCCCTGTCGTTCTCCTATGATTCACTGGCAGCTTGAGACCTGAACATGTGGCCTTCTTCTGCCATTCGGTTGTGCCTGGGGGATGCACGTGCGTCTCTGTAAGAAAGATGTAGTGGAACTCGGGATGCTGATTGGACAGTATGTGCTCCCATGACTTGGGGCCAGCGACGGTGATGCTGGCGAACAACATGGAAGCGAGACGGTCGTGTTCTGCCGATCTAGCCTCGGCAGTGGCTGTAGCCGAAGGGCGCTGCGATGCTGCGCGAGAAGAGGCTGCGTCCTTCGGTTCATGATGGCACTTGTTTGGCGCAGCCTGAGCAGCCGCTGGTGTAGTACCTGCCGCCGATGACTGCGACGCTGATGCCTGGGCCTTGGCAGCCTCCTTGGCCGCCTTGCCTGCTGCGATCTTCGCTTCGGAGATGGGCGCAGGAACCTTCTCGATGCGCTCCCGCTGCTGCCTCTCGTCCTCGCTCTCCTTCTCCCCTGCCCCTGCCGCCGCCGTCGCTGCGCCTGACGGCGCCGTCGAAGGCTGTGCAGGTGCTGGAGGAGGGGGCGCTGAGGCAGCCGCTGCACCTGACTCGCCCCTGCGCTTTTTGGCCATCCCCTCCGAGAGTGTCCTCTCGAGCGAGGCGGCGCGCTCCTGCCGCTCCTTGACCTGATGCTTGCCGTCGACGAGCTCCTTGGCCGACCTAAGCTGAGACCCCAAAACCTTCAGAGCCTCGAGCTCGGACTCTTCTAGGTCCGTGTCGGCCAGATGCAGGGAAAAATCTTCGTCGATCTCCAATTTGAAGAAGGACTTGGTGCTGGAATCGGGATCTGGCGCCTACGACGACTCCTGGCCCATGACTCCCAACTGCTTGGCTAGGGTGGTAGCCGCCGACTTCTTGGCCTCCCCAACGCGGGCCACAATCACGGCGGTCTCCCTCTCCTTCGCCTCGGCGCGTAGCACCGTTCTCCCGTGCCTTCAGGAGTGTGGCCACAGCCCGGTCATGCCTGGTGACTGCGTCCTTCCACGCGCCCGAAGCATTCTTCATCTGGTCCTCGGGCGAGAGCCTCATTTTGCCCTCCAGCTGGACGTTGGCGTGCTCGTTCGATATCAATTAGGGGAAGGAGGGCGAGGAGGGGGAGGAGGGGGAGGAGGAGGAGGAGGAGGAGGAGGAGGAGGAGGAGGAGGAGGAGGAGGAGGAGGAGGAGGAGGAGGAATAATAGCAAGAAAACAAATAGGGGAGGAGGAGGAGGAGGAGGAGGAGGCGGAGGAGGAGGAGGAGGAGGAGGAGGAGGAGGAGGAGGAGGAGGAGGAGGAGGAGGAGGAGGAGGACATGGAGGAGGAGGAGGAGGAGGAGGAGGAGGAGGAGGAGGAGGAGGAGGAGAGGAGGAGATGGAGGAGGAGGAGGCGGAGGAGGAGGAGGAGGAGGAGGAGGAGGAGGACAACGAAGAAGAACCCCCTTGGAACCATCATGGAGTCTCCTTGGGGTTGTCTTCAGGTTCTTCTTGGGTCCTCTAGGAGCCCTCTTGGGGCCCTTGTGCAACGTCCTGGGGTCCTCATAGGGGCTTTTTGAGGTGCCCTGGGGCCTTTTGGGGCCCTCTGGAGCCCTGGATGGCCATTTGGGGCCATCTTGTAGTTTGCCGATCAAGTGAGGCGGAGTTCCCGATTCCAGCCTCCCCCAACAGGAACGCTCAACAGCAACTCCCGGGGCGCTCTTGGGGCGCTCTTGAGCGCACTTGGGGTCGTCTTGTGGGCCGCTTGTGCCCCCCTTGGGGCTCTCTTGGGCCATCCTGGGGCCACATGGAGGCCTCAGAAGCCCATCGGAAGCGAAAAGGCACACACCATTGGCATTCCCCAGTTTTTTTGTTGTTGAAGGATTCACCTCGTGGATGTCCGTTGGGGGCTCCCAGAGCATTTGGAACCATCTTGTGGCTCTCTTGGGGGCCTCTTGGCGGCATGATGGAGGCCATCTTGAACCATCCTTGGCTATCTTGAGTCATCTTGGAGGCCATCTTGAAGTATCGCAGGCCCTCCTGGCGACATATTGGACCAGCTTGGGCGCTCTAACCCCTTGCGACTGGGCCCAAAAAGCCTCAGGAAGTGGAGGGGGATGGTGCCCCTCTCCGACCGAAAGAAGGACGGAAGAAGAGTTTTGGACGAGGGAAGAAAGAACTCGTTGCACCACCTGCGCCCAGAGGGCCGGTGGAATTCCGCAGACGTTCCGATTGACGAAGCGTGTTCGCATGCTGCGTTCAGAAGCTCTGTACGTTGAAGGAACCAGCATGCGGGAGGAATCTGCCCCGCTCTGACGTATTCAGATCGAGTGCGGCAGGTTCGTGTCGTCGGCGACTGCCTGCGCTCGTTCAAGACTGAACGACCCACGCGGCGTCAGAAGCCATCGCGCAGGTCGTGGCGACACGAACCTGCCGTGATTGTGGAGCTGGGTGCGACAGGTGAGGGGGCAGGGGACGGGAGGAGAGGGGGTGTCGGGCGGCGCGCCCGGGGCGGGAAGCGAGAAGGGGGCGGGCCTTCTCAGAGGGCTCGGAAGGCCTCCGGCCTTCTGAGAAGTTTCCTGAGCCGCCTCCCCCGAAGACTGACAACTGCTCAGAAGGCTGGAGGGTTTTTGAGAAGCCCTTCTGCTGTCTGGGAAGGCCTCCTCGCTCTCACTTTCTCCCCTCGCTCGCCGCCGAGGGGGAAAGAGGGGATGGCGGATGAGGTCTGCCGCTGAGGGGAGGAACGGAGGCGCCACGCCCGCCCCGCCCGCCCGCGCCGGGGCCAGGATCGTGAGGTACCACGGCTGCATACGGCAGACCTCGGAGGAAGCGTCTGCTATCTCTGCCACCTTCGGCGTCCACCTCATCCTGGGCGCACTCTTTGTCTCGTCCGCGGCCCCGATGTCGACGTCGCGGCACGGCCGATCTGCAATGTTCCGCTGACGGACCGAGCCGTGGCGTCGACATCGGGGCCGCGGACGAGACAGAGGACGCGCACAGGATGAGGTTGACGCCGAAGGTGGTCGGACGATTTTTCGATCTGGGCGTTTTTCCTCCATTTCGGCCTCTGGGGCCCGCTACCGGGCCCTGTGGCCATCGAACGAAGATGGGTACGGGACGGCAATCTCATCCCTGGGGAAGGGGTCAGGACTTCTGGGCCTTGGCGTTGAAACAATCAGCTTGGAGGATTTCTGGTTTTCGTCATCGCCCTCCTCACTCTCCTCGTCGTTTTCGTCCTCCTCCTCCCCTCCTCCAGTCTTCCCTGCGAGTAATGTCGGCGTGTGGACCCCGAGCAGCTGCTTCTTGCAATCCCGATGCTGAGATCACGCGTTTCAAGCTGGTCATGGTGCGGATACCGATGTTGATGTTGTTGTTGATGATGGGTGTGATGACGATGATGCTGATGCTGATGATGATGCTGATGCTGCTGCCTATGGATGATGGACCTTTCTATTGAAGATGAATGCCTTTTGAGGGGAAGGGAGAGGCCGAATGCAGAATGCGTTGTTTCTTCTCAATAGCCTTCGACTCTCGAGCTGGTGGGCCGCGGCGTGGCCGCGGCGCATGGCCGGGGCCTTCCTGGGGCTTCCCGCGGGCTGGGCAGGGCTCATTGACCGCTGGGGCGTCCCCGCGCTCCAGGCCTGGGTCGCGCGCTGCCCGGCGGTGGAGCTCCCGCCGTGCCAGCGTGCCCGGGGGGGGACCTGCCCAGCCTGCCCGCCCTGCCCTGGAGCCTCGGTGGGCGCGACCACGGGCACCGTCGCCCTCGCCTGTGGGACGGCCGCGCTGGCTGGCGCTTCGTTCGGGGCCCTCGGCACCTTCACGGCGCTCCGACTCTGGGCGCCGCGCTGGGGTGCTGCGGAGGGCCGCGGCCGGCCAGCGACGGTCGCCAGCGCGACCGGGTCGCAGCTGCCGCTCGCTGCGCTCGCCGCTGAGCCCCATGTCGGAGGCGTGGGCGTGGGTCCTCTACAACGTGGTCGGCGCGCCGCTGTTCCACCAGAGGAGGGTGGCAGGCCAGCTGGCACTCACGAGTGACCGGATCATCGTGACCCCGGACGACATGGTCTACGCCGAGACTTTGCTGACAGCGGGGCCCGACATCTCGGCGGTGCGGTTCTCGGCGACGAGGTGGCCGCCGCCGCCGGGGATCGACCCTGGCTCGACGCACCGGTTCCGCCAGGCCCCCTCGGCGGCGCGCGAGGCGGCCTGGCTGGCGGCCGCCGTCGCGGAGGCCGACGCCGAGTTCGGCCGCCGCCATCCTGGGGTGCCCGTGCCGCCTGGGGGCACCCTGGTGCCGATGGCGGGCGGCCTGCTGCCGGGGTTCGTGGCGCCCGCGGCCGCGCTGGCCGCCATCGTGGGGCCTGTGCCGCCTCCCGAGGGGGCTGCCGCCGCACCGCCCGCGGCCGGGGTCGCCGCTGCCGTGTTGGCTGCTGCCGGGCCGCCCGCGCCCGACGGACCGCTCCCCGGGGTGGCGCCAGGCCCCGCGGCCGGCGTGCCCATCGCGCCGGGCGCCCCCCTGGCCGTCGGAACGCCTTTGGGCCCTCCTGAAAGGACGACGGCGGCGCCCCACTCGGGCCGAACGGCGAGGCGCCAGCGGGCTGGTCGTGGGTGCTTGCCGAGGATGCGGGCGGCCTCGCCTACGGCTCGGCGGTGCAGGTCGGCCCGATCGGTGGCGCGATCTTGGCCGCGCGGGCGGGCCGGGCCGAAGGGCGACCATCGCCCTCGTCGGAGGTGCCTCCGCCATGGCGTTCCTCCTCGAGGACTGGCGGCGAGGCGACTTCATCGACAAGTGGCGGGGGGCCGACGCGAAGATCTTGGCGCGCGCGCCGGGCGTTCGCCTGGCGCGGAGCTGGCTCGCAGTGACCGAGTCGGCGGTGGAGGTGGCAGACCCCGGCTTCGCCCTGCAGCCGAGGTTCGTGGGGTGGGGCGTGGCGTGGCTGCTGCGGGAGGGCGGGCCCGCCCAGCGCCGCGAGAGCTGGAAGTCCCGCAAGAGGCTCAACTCCTCGGACTGGGGCGTCTCGGAGCACCGCGCACTCTCCACCGTGCTGGGGGACCTCGCCGCGCACGACGAGGTCAATGTGACGAACCTCCTCGGCGCGGAGCGGCTGCTGATGAAGATGCAGCTGATCGAGCACTTCTGGGGCGAGAAGCAGCGGGGGCAGGATGCTGGGCAGCTGAAGCTGCCAGTGGAGGAGGTCTCCGCTTTCATGGGCGGCGCGGGTCCGTCGAGCCGCCCGAGCAGCATGGCGCGCCCCGCCCTGCTCGACGTGGTCGGCAAGGAGCTCGAGCGCACCAGCCAGATCAAGCAGAACGCCCGCCAGCTGCGGGGGGGGGCGAAGGCCGCCGCTGGGCCGAAAGCCAGCGGAGCCAAGGCATGAGTCTCTCATGCCCAGGGGGGCCCAGTGGCCCAGCTCCCCCGGGCGCTGCGGCGTCGGGGCCCATCTCGGCGACTACCAGCGGTGCTGAGGGCGGTGTACATAGCACTTTCGACGGCTCGGGCGCAGAGCGGCAGCGAGACCACTTTCCGCTGCCAGCGCCCGGCGCCGCCGACCCTGGCGGGCTGGCCGCGGGCGCCTGTTCCCGAGCCGTGCGGCGGCGCGCGCGGCGCGCGGCGTCCGCGCCCTGGCTCGCGCGGCAGGCGGTCGAGGCGCTCAATGGCTTCAGCGATGCTGGGGTGCAGGGTGGCTCGCTGCCGCGGGCTGGCGCGACGCTCGCGCAGCAGCAGTGCCTGGCGCGGATCGCGGACTCCGTCTCCCAGCTGGGCCCCCCGCCAGGCGACCTACAGCCTTTGGCATCCCTGCAGGAGCTCCAGGCTGCTCTGTCCGACGACGGCTCGCTGTCGACGAAGGCGGAGGCGATGGGCGTCTCCGGGCTCTCGCTGCCTCCTCCTCCAGGTAACCACCCCGTGGCGCTGGGGCGGCGTCTGGGCGCCGAGGTGTTCGTCTCCGTCCATCGTGATATCTCGTGCAAGGTCATGCCAAAGACAGAAGTTTTGCAGCGGAAGCAGCGCGTTGGCTTCAAGAAGCCCTACTCGGACCCCAGCCTTCGAGACCCTCGCCACTATGCAGCGCCGGTGAGGCGTCTCCGCGAGGCTGGGGCGGTCGACCTCGTCAGCGACGCCGCCCTGGTGGTCGACGAGGTAGGCCTGTTCAGCGTGGCCAAGAAGAGTGGGAAGCAGCGGCTGGTCGTCGACGCCCGCCCCGCCAACTTCTGGTTCGGCGACGCCGAGGGCGTCCACCTGGCCACCGGCGCTGCGCTGGCGGCGATCGAGCTGCCGGACGGCGCCAGCCTGTGGACCGCTTCGGCGGACATCGCGGACGCTGTCTACAACGTGAGTTGCCGGGCGCTTGAAGGCCGTGCTTCGCGCTCCCTCCGCTGGACTCCTGGAGGCTTGGGCGCGAGGCCGCCCCCGGGCAGCCGCGCGCGCAGCGGCTCTGGCCGCGGCTCGCGGTGCTGCCCATGGGCTGGTCACGCGCGCTGGCCGTCTGCCAGCGGGTGTCGGAGGCGGCCGCCGACCGCGCACGGCTGCCAGTGCTGTCCAGGATCGCGGACCGGCGGACCGGCCCTAGCCTGGGCGCCGGCGGGAAGCAGTCGTGCCTTCGCCTCGGAGAGCCTGGGGGATCATCCTGGCCACGCGCGCGCTCCTCACCATGCCGAAGGTCTCGGCCCAGCAGGTTCGCCTGGTCGTGGGGCACTACACCTTCCTCTTCATGGTGAGGCGCCCGCTGCTGGCAGTTTTCGCGGCCGTGTACCGTCTCATCGCAAAGGCCGGTGAGGCGCCTAGGCCTTGGTGGCCCAGCGTGCGCCGAGAGCTGATATGGGCCGTGGGGGCTGCCCCGCTGGCCCACGCCGACCTCTGGGCAGCTGGCTGGGCCGAGTTCTGTGCGCGGATGCCTCCGAGTGGGGCCGGGGGGCGCGCGGGCGTGAAATGGGCAGAGACGTGGTGGAGAGGAGGGGTGGGATCCAGGAGCGCTGGCTCTTCCGAGACCCCAGTGCGAGGGCGCCCCGGGAGCAGCTCATCGAGCCTCTCGAGCCCCTGGGGGCCCGCGTCTACTCCGAGCCGTCCTCGAGAGGTCACGTCTGCAGCGCGCCGTCGGACATCCAGGGGCCCGTCGCCCCCCATGGCCAAAGGCAGCCCCCGCGCGGGGCCCTGGGAGAGCGACTTCGAGCCTCTGGAAGTTCATCGCATCTCTGGGGGCTCGGTCGCCACCTCGAGCGGGGCCTGGGAGAGGGGGGGGCGCGCCGCAGCCTTGGAGGGGGGGCCCTAATCCACGCCTTGAAGCACGTCCTCTGGGACGCCGGGCAGCACGGCCATCGCGTCCTTTTCCTCTCAGACCGTCTCGTCGCCGTCCTGGCTCTGACCAGGGGCCTCTCCTCGCGGCCGAGGATGGCGCGCATCTGCCGCCGGTGGGCCGCCCTCGTGGTGGCAGGAGGCGTCGCCGCGGCGCTGCGGTGGATCCCGTCGGAGGCGAGCCCGACGGACCTGCCCTCCTGCTGGGCGCTGAGGATCGGCGCGCGGCTGCGCTGAGATGCTGTCGCCAGTCTGGCCGCCGCGCGGGAGGCCGGACAGGCAGGTGCTGATGCCGGCGCCTTTCGTGGCGGCGGTCCCGCGCCAGGCAGCGGCGGGGCGCCCCAGCCGGGCGACGGCCTTGCAGCGTGGCCAGCGCCGGGCGAGACGCAGCCACCTGTCGAGGGCGGCGGAGGCGGCCGCCAAGCGTGCGGGGAGGGCCGCGGCGCGGGCGCCCGAGGCGGCCTCCCTTCGCTCCTCGGCGGGCCATGTCCTGAGGGCCCTCTCGATCTCGGCGGCCACGAGGGCCAAGTACGCGCGC